GAGGCTTCGGAGGAGCTCCCTGTGGGGGGGGCGCGCGCGGGCGGTCCCGCTAGGGGCTTCGGTGGAGCTCCCTATGGGCCCACGAAGCGCTGCACTAGGCAAATGAAACTGGGCGTGGGGGGCGCGCGCGGGCGGTCCCATTGGAGGCTTCGGTGGAGCTCCCTATGGGACCACGGAGCGCTGTACTGGGTGGGTGACACTGCCAAATCGGGTGTGGGGGACGCATGCGGACGGCCCCGCCGGGGGCTTCGGCGGGGCTCCCTATGGGGCGCGTGGGGGGCGCATGCGGACGGCCCCACTGGGGGTTTCGGTGGGGCTCCCTATGGGGCCGCGAGGCGCTGCGCTGGATGGGTGAAAATGCCAAGTTGGGTGTGGGGGGCGCATGCGGGCGGTCCCACTGGGGGCTTCGGCGTGAATCCTATGGGGCCACGCAGCGCTGCACTGGGTGGGCGAAAATACAAAATTAAGCGTGGGTAGCGCGCATGTGGGCGGTGCCGCTGGGGGCTTCGGTGGAGCTCCCTATGGGGTCACGAAACGCTGCGCTGGGTGGATGAAAATGCAAAATTGGGCGCGGGGCGCATGCGGGCGGCCCCACGGGGGGCTTCGGTGGAGCTCCCGATGGGGCCGCGAAGCGTTGTAGAGGGTGTGCGGAAATTCCAAATTGGGTGTGGGGGGCGCATGCGGGCGGCCCCGCGGGGGCTTCGGTGGGGCCCCCGATGGGGCCACGAAGCGCTGAATCGGGTTTGTGAAAATGCCAAATTGGGTGCGGGGGGCGCATGCGGGCGGTCCCACTGGGAGCTTCGGTGGAGCTCCCTGAGAGGCCACTAAGCGCTGCGCTGGATTTGTGAAAATGCCAAATTGAGCGTGGGGGGCGCATGCGGGCGGTCCCACTGGGACCTTCGGCGGGGCTCCCTATGAGGCCACGAAGCGCTGCGCTGGGTGGGTGAAATCGCCAAGTTAGGTGTGGGGGGCGCATGCGGGCGGCACCGCTGGGGGCTTCGGCGGGGCTCCTTATGGGGCCACGAAGCGTTGTATCGGGTTTGTGAAAATGCCAAATTAGGAGTGGCGGACGCGTGCGGGCGGTGCCGCTGGAACCTTCGGTGGGGCTCCCTATGGGGCCACGAAGCGCTGTACTGGGTGGGTGAAAATGCCAAATCGGGCGCGGGGGGCGCACGCGGGCGGCCCCACTGGGAGCGCTTTGCTGGGCGGGCGAAACGCATGGGGGAAGGGGGGCGAAGAGAAAAAAAAAGAAAGGAACGCGGGGGCCGTCTCTTCAAAACGCGGACTCAACACCGCAGGATGGCCGGGAACAATATACGCGACCAATCACGAATGAAACGGCGCCCGTCGCTCTCTATAGAGCATGTTTCGCTTTTGCATGTACCGCTCAACGTTTAACATCGAGCTCGCAGAGCCAAACTCTGGGCAGCCACCCCCAAACCAAACAGCGCCTGGGCGAAAGACCCAACCATATGCAGTTGTGGGTACCGGACAAGTGAACACATTCTTCGGTGCAGCTCCCTGTAAGGCCACGAAGCGCTGCACTGGGTGGGGGGGAACGCATGCGTGCCGTAGCACAGGGGCCGTCGGTGGAGCTTCGTATGGCGCCACGAAGCGCTGTGCTGGTGGCTGGCACATGCGGGCGGCGCCACTGGGAGCTTCGGTGAGGCCCCCATATGGGGCCACGAAACGCTGTGCTGGGTGGGTGAAACGCAGGGGGCAAGGGCTGTGCTGGGTGGTGGCGGACGCACGCGGGCGGCGCCACTGAGACCTTCGGTGGGGCCCCCTATGGGCCACGAGACGCTGTGCTGGGTGGGAAAGCGCAGGGGGCAAAAGCTGTGCTGGGTGGTGGCGGACGCACGCGGGCGGTGCCGCTGGGGCCTTCGGTGGAGCTCCCTACGGGGCCACGCAACGCTGTACTGGGTGGGTGAAACGCAAAGGGCGAGGGCTGTGCTGGGTGGTGGAGGGCGCATGCGGACGGTAGCACTGGGACCTCCGGTGGGGCCCCCATATGGGGCCACGAAACGCTTTACTGGGTGGGTGAAACGCAGGGGGCAAGGGCTGTGCTGGGTGGTGGCGGACGCATGCGGGCGGTGCCGCTGGGGGCTTCGGTGGAGCTCCCTATAGGGCCACGAAACAGTGTACTGGGTTGGTGAAACGCAAAGAGCAAGGGCCGTGTTGGGTGGTGGCGGACGCATGCGCGCGGTGCCACTGGGACCTTCGGTGGGGCCCCCTGTGGGGCCACGAAACGCTGTACTGGGTGGGTGAAGCGAACGAGGCAAGGGCTGTGCTGGGCGGTGGCGGACGCATGCGGGCGGTGCCACTGGGGGCTTCGGTGGAACCCCCTATGGAGCAAGGGTGGGTGAAATGCAAGGAGCAAGGGCTGTGCTGGATGGTGGCGGACGCATGCGGGCGGTGCCGCTGAAACCTTCGGCGGGGCTCCCTATGGGGCCACGAAACATTGCACTGGGTGTGTGAAACGCAGGGAACAAGAGCTGCGCTGGGTGGTGGCGGACGCACGCGGGCGGCGCCACCGGGGCCTTCGGTGGGGCCCCCATATGGGGCCGCGAAGCGCTGTACTGGGTGGGTGAAACGCAGTGAGCAAGGGCCGTGCTGGGTGGTGGCGGACGCATGCGCGCGGTGCCACTGGGACCTGCCGCGGAGCTCCCTATGGGGCCACGGAGCGCCGTACTGGGTGGGTGAAGCGCAGGGAGTAATGGCTGTGCTGGGTGGTGGCGGACGCATGCGCGCGGGGCCACTGGGGCCTTCGGTGGAGCCTTTATGGGGCATCGAGGCGCTGTGCTGGGTGGGCGAGACGCATGGAAGAATGAAGAGGGAGGGGCGAAAGGGGGAGGGGGGGGGAGGAGAGGAAAAGAGGAAACGAGGAACGCGGGGACCGTGTCTTCAAGACGAGGACCCAACACCACAGGATCGTTGGGAAAAAACACGTTTCGAATTCAACCAAGTAGCCTGGCGAAAGAGCCAGCCAGATGCTTTTGTGAATACCGCAACTTTGAATATCTTCTTCGGTGGCGCTCCCCATGGGGCCACGAAACGCTGTGCTGGGTGGGTGAAACGCAGGGAGCAAGGGCCGTGTTGGGTGGTGGCGGACGCATGCGGGCGGTACCACTGGGACCGTCGGTGGAGCCCCCTATGGGGCCACGAAGCGCTGTGCTGGGTGGGTGAAAGGAACGAGGCAAGGGCTGTGCTGGGCGGTGGCGGACGCATGCGGGCGGTGCCACTGGGGCCTTCGGTGGAGCCCCCTATGGGGCCACGAAGCGCTGTGCTGGGTGGGTGGAACGCAGGGAGCAAGGGCTGTGCTGGGTGGTGGCGGACGCACGCGGGCGGTGCCACTGGGGCGTTCGGTGGAGCTCCCTACGGGGCCACGAAACGCTGTCCTGGATGGGTGAAAAGCAGGGAACATTGGCTGTGCTGCGTGGTGGAGGACGCACGCGGGCGGTGCCACTGGAACCTTCGGTGGGGCCCCCTCCGCGGCCACGAAACGCTTTACTGGGTGGGTGAGACGCAGGGAGCGAGGGCTGTGCTGGGCGGTGGACGGCGCATGCGGGCGGTGCCAGTAGGACCTTCGGTGGAGCCCTCTATGAGGCCACGAAACGCGGTACTGGATGGGTGGAACGCAGGGAGCAAGGGCTGTGCTGGGTGGTGGCGGACGCATGCGGGCGGTGCCACTGGGACCTTCGGTCGAACCCCCTTTTATGGGGCCACGAAGCGCTGTAATGGGTGGGTGAAACGCAGGGAGCAATGGCTGTACTGGGTGGTGGCGGACGCATGCAGGCGGTGCCACTGAAACCTTCGGTGGGGCTCCCTATGGGGCCGCCAAGCGCTGTACTGGGTGTGTCTGAAAAGCAGGGAGCAAAGGCTGTGCTGGTTGGTGGCGGACACATGCGGGCGGTGCCAGTGGGTGAAACGCAAGGAACAAGAGCTGTGCTGGGTGGTGGCGGACGCACGCGGGCGGCGCCACTGGGACCTTCGGTGGAGCCCCCTTTTTTTATGAGGCCACGAAGCGCTGTACTGGGTGGGTGAAACGCAGGGAGCAAGGGCTGTGCTGGATGGTGGCGGACGCATGCGGGCGGTGCCACTGAAACTTTCGGCGGAGCTCCCTATGGGGCCACAAAACATTGCACTGGGTGGGTGAAACGCAGGGAACAAGAGTTGTGCTGGGTGGTTGCGGGCGCATGCGGGCGGTCCCAGTGGGGGCTTCGGTGGAGCTCACTATGGAACCACGGAACGCTGTCCTGGGTGGGTGAAACGCATGGAAGAAGGAGGAGGGAGGGGAGGAGGGGGAGGAGGAGAGGAGGAGAGGATAAGAGGAACGCGGGGGCCGTCTATTCAAAACGAGGACCCAACACCACAGGATGGATGGGAAAACACAACATGGCACGATCCAGCCCATCTGGACAAACACCGCAGACAATTCGCTTGTGCAATGACAGACGAGCGAACGATGTATTAGTTAGCTCGTGGCTCTTAGCTTTTAGAGAAAGGTAGCTATTTTGCAAACGAGACCCAGGCTAACGCAAGGTCCACTCCCAGCACTGTAGCTGGTGATGTGTGCTTCCACTTTCATCTTGCATGCCTTCAGTGGCAGCGGCGCCACAACTGGCGCCACTACTCGCTGAAAGGTGGAGGAGGGGCGGGAGGAGGGAAGAAACGAGGAGAGGACGCAATGTGCCACGTCTCTTTGCTGGCGCACGCGCGCCTGATCGCAGCATTTGCTGATGACGTGGGGCGCCACGCTTCGTGATGCCGGCGCTCAAGAGCAGGAGGAGGACGGCGAATGGTATGGAGCAGAAGGAGGAGCAGGAGGAGGAGGAGGAGCAAGGGAACGAGGAGGATAAGCAGGAGCAAGAGGAGGAGGAGGAGGAGGAGGAGGAGGAGGAGGAGGAGGAGGAGGAGTAGGAGCAGAGGGAGCAGGAGCAGCAGCAGGAAGAGGAGGAGCAGGAGGAGGAGGAGGAGCAGGACGTGGATGGGGCTCAGGCCTCTCCCTCGCGGCGCCGCCCTCGCCGGCCGCGTTCCGGGCCCGCTTGGCCCCGCCCTGCGGGCCGCCGCACGGCGCCAGGGCCGCGGGAATGCGCTCCGCGGGCTCGGGCGCCTCGCGCGGGCGGGCGGGCGGCGGCGTGCGCCGTCGGCGGTGCGTCGGCGGCGAGCGTCGTCGGCACGTCGTCGCCTGCGGCGCTGCCGCTGCCGCCGCCGTCGGGGGAGGAGGAATCGGCTACACGTAAGAATGACCCTAGGCAACAATGACCTCTGGTGCGCGACTTCACGGGGGACGCAGGGTGGCCAATTCCAGGCGCGCAAGCCGCTGCTACCGCTCCCCGTTCAGCGATCGGGGGGCCCATTGGGCCCGCACGAAAGCTTAACTTGGCGAAAATAGTCGAAGGAAGAGGACGAGGGCTGGGGCCGGAGTATCGCGCCGCATCGCCGATACATTGCCGATATATCGGCGACGTATCGGCGACGTGGGCAATGCATCCGCGACGTCGGCGTGGGGAAAGCCAAGCTCCACATCGAGCCGCATCGCCGATGCACCGGCGATGCGGCGCGATCCTCCGACCCCATCTACTCCGACCCTATCTGGGAGGCCTAGAGTGGCGGTGGGGGGACACTTCATCAGTGAAAGTGCAGGAGGCGGAGGCACCGTGCGTCATTGAAACGTCGTCGCCTGCAGGACCCTCACAGATCGATCCAGCTGGGAAAATGCCGCAGAAAAATGGGGTCTAAAGCTCCGTTCGCGATTTTCCCCGACCAGGGCCGTAATGAAAGGCTCATCCCGAGAAAGGGTCCAGACCTCCAGGGTCCACGTTGTGAGAACATGATGACGACGGCGTTCTGGGTATTCCTCCCCGTCGGGGGAGGATAGGGGGAGGAAGAGGAGGAGGAAGGAGGTGGAGGAGGAAAAGGACGAGGACCTGAACGTGGCGGGGGGGGGGCACTGGAAGAGCTATGCAGCTGGATGGCGGCGGCGGCGACGACGTGCATCGTGGGTGCGTCGGCGTGCGTCGGCGCCTGCGTCATCGTCGCCTGCGTCCTTGCCGCCGCCGCCATCGGGGAAGGAGGAAGAGGACGAGGGTTGTTGCGGTCGTGAGACACTGCAACAGCTACGCAAATGGAACGCGGTATTAGCGCCGTGCGTCAACAGAACGTCGTCGCCTGCGTCATCGTTGCCTGTGTCGTTGGCGCCGCCGCCGCCGTCGGGGAAGCAGGAAGAGGACGAGGAGAGGGACGTGGCTGGGTGGGACACTGCAAGAGTTAGAGAGGTTGGAGGCGGAGGCGGCGTGCGTCGGTGCCTGCGTGATCGTCGCTTGCGTCGCTGCCGCCGCCGCCGCCGCCGGGGGGGGAGGAAGAAGACGAGGAGGGGAGGGGAGGGGAGTGGCGGAGGTGGGGTGCTGCAGCAGTTACAGAGGTGGAGGGCGGCGGCGACGACGTGCGTGGTCGGTGCGTCGGCGGCGTACGTTGGCGCCCTCGTCATCATCGCCTGCGTCATTGGCGTCGCCGCCGTCGAGGAATGGGACAAGGAGAGGGATGTGGCAGTGGGGGCGGCGGCTCCTTTTCAACCTGGGGCGCTCAATAAACACACCCTCGAGCTTTATGTTGGACCTACCTCTTCGCATTCCTTGTAGCTGCGAGAATGCATGAACGCTCCTTTTCAAAACTGGGCTCTCGCATGACTGACAGGCGCATGGCGATCGTACTTCACAGGCGCGCTCCCCATAATCAAAAGGCCGTCGTTACAAGAAATGCGCGTAGGGTCTTGTGAGGAGGGGACTTGTGACAGAAAAGGTGTTGTGCAGCATCTCTGATGCATCTCGGGTCGTCTCTGGCCCTGGTCTCCGCCTCCGCCTCCTCCTCCTCCTCCCCTCCTCCTCTCCTCCTCTCCTCCTCCTCCTCCTCCTTCTGATCCTCCTCCTCCTCCTCCTCCTCCTCCTCCTCCTCCTCCTCCTCCTCCTCCTCCTCCTCCTCCTCCTCCTCCTCCCCCTCTTCCTCCTTCTCCTCCTCCTCCTCCCGTCCCTCCTCCCCTCCCTTCTCCTTGCCCTGTCCGTGGCCCGTGCAGTACGGGTTTCCGCCACCCCTGCTCCTCAGCAACGACCCCCTTCGTGCTCGGCGCAGCCTGTGCAGGAAAGGGGGCCAAGCGAGGGGTACCATTTCGCCCCCCGTCCTGCACTTGGTCCTCCTCCGCGTGATCGATCTCGCCGTCCAAACTGCCCCCCTCCTCCCCTCCAAACTGCCCCCCTCCTCTTCCTCCTCCTCTTCCTCCTCTTCCCTCTCCTCCTCCTCCAAAATCCGTCCTCCCTCCCTCCGACCTCCTCCTGATTCCCTCCTCCCTCCATGACTCCTTTGCTCCTCAATCGCACGGGGGGGGAGGCAGAGGAGCATGGCGATTCGACATCAAAGGTTGGAGCAGGAGCAAGGCGGCGACGAACAACGCTCTTCCCCATCAGGGGACGGCTTCCACCACCACTACAAGAGGGCAGATGATACCCCCCGCGAGACCCCAATAGGCCTCCGATTGACCCCCCAAAAGATTCCCAGAGGCAGTTCAGAGGCGTCTTCCCTGGGATGGGCCGACGGTCACCTACGGCAATTTCGTGCCGTGGCGATCTGGACGTTGGTTTCTGACACCGCGGGGATCGCTCAACCCTGAACGATCGGCCGCTTCCGCAATCGACAAATTCTTGGTCGCCCGCGGCGCCGCCGCCAATCGACACGACGCGAAACTACCGTAGACAGTGGTGGAAATGGAGAGCTGGGCCGTGGGCCATGGTTCCCACGCCGTGGGGCCTTCGGACAATAACTCAGGTCTCCAGCGGCCGTTCGGGAGGACCGGGGATCCGGGCACCCCCAGAACGCTCTCGGCGAGGCGCAGCCGCTGGAACACATCGCGAGGCTGGACAACCGCCGAGAAGCGACGAAGACGTCCAGAAACCTCGAGCCTCAAAAACGCCTTTTCCTCGAACCCCAAGCGTTGCCCCGAAGGTCGTGGGCGGACCCCACCGCGCTGCCTGTTCGAGCCGCTCGGCGCGCTCCTCCATCAGCCGCTCGGCCTTTCGCTTCTCGCCAGAGCTCACCTCAGAGGCACGGGGGAGGGGGCGCCGATGTATTGCAATAATAAAATTATCCTGGCGAAGGACCCAACCATATGCAATTGTGAATACTGCAATTGTGAATATCTTCTCGGTGGAGCCCCCTACGGGGCCACGAAACGTACGAGGGGTGTGCCGAAATGGGTGTGCGGGACGCATGCGGGCACACCGACTGGGGCCTTCGGTGGAGCTCTCTATGGGGCCACGAAACGTGTGAGGGGTGTGCCGAAATGGGTGTGCGGGACGCATGCGGGCACACCCACTGGGACCTTCGGCGGAGCTCCCTATGGGGCCACGGAGCGCGTGATGGGCGTGCCGAAATGGGTGTGGCTGACGCATGCGGGCGCGGGCACTGGGGCCTTCGGTGGAGCTCCCTATGGGGCCACGAAACGTGTGAGGGGTGTGCCGAATGGGTGTGGCTGACGCATACTGGGGCCTTCGGTGGAGCTCCCTATGGAGCCACGAAACGTGTGAATGGGCGTGCCGAAATGGGTGTGGCTGACGCATGCGGGCGCGGGCACTGGTGCCTTCGGTGGAGCTCCCTATGGGGCCACGAAACGTGTGAGGGGTGTGCCGAGATGGGTGTGGCTGACGCATACGGGCGCGGGCACTGGGGCCTTCGGTGGAGCTCCCTATGGAGCCACGAAACGTGTGAGGGGTGTGCCGAAATGGGGTGGGCGACGCATGCGGGCGCGGGCACTGGGGCCTTCGGTGGAGCTCCCTATGGAGCCACGAAACGTGTGGGGTGGTGCCGAAAACGCATGGGTTGGGTGTGAGGGGTGTGCCACGCATGCGGGCGCGGGCACTGGGGCCTTCGGTGGAGCTCCCTATGGAGCCACGAAACGTGTGAGGGGTGTGCCGAAATGGGTGTGGGTGACGCATGCGGGCGCGGGCACTGGGGCCTTCGGTGGAGCTCCCTATGGAGCCACGAAGCGTGTGAGGGGTGTGCCGAAATGGGTGTGGGTGACGCATGCGGGCGCGGGCACTGGGGCCTTCGGTGGAGCTCCCTATGGAGCCACGAAACGTGTGAGGGGTGTGCCGAAATGGGTGTGGGTGACGCATGCGGGCGCGGGCACTGGGGCCTTCGGTGGAGCTCCCTATGGAGCCACGAAACGTGTGAGGGGTGTGCCGAAATGGGTGTGGGTGACGCATGCGGGCGCGGGCACTGGGGCCTTCGGTGGAGCTCCCTATGGAGCCACGAAACGTGTGAGGGGTGTGCCGAAATGGGTGTGGGTGACGCATGCGGGCGCGGGCACTGGGGCCTTCGGTGGAGCTCCCTATGGAGCCACGAAACGTGTGAGGGGTGTGCCGAAATGGGCGTGGGTGACGCATGCGGGCGCGGGCACTGGGGCCTTCGGTGGAGCTCCCTATGGAGCCACACGAAATGGGTGTGAGGGTGTGGAGCCACGAAACCGAAAGGTGGTGTGTGTGTGTGTGTGTGTGTGTGTGTGTGTGTGACGCATGCGGGCGCGGGCACTGGGGCCTTCGGTGGAGCTCCCTATGGAGCCACGAAACGTGTGAGGGGTGTGCCGACATGGGTGTGGGTGTGGGTGACGCATGCGGGCGCGGGCACTGGGGCCTTCGGTGGAGCTCCCTATGGAACCACGAAACGTGTGAGGGGTGTGCCGAAATGGGTGTGGGTGACGCATGCGGGCGCGGGCACTGGGGCCTTCGGTGGAGCTCCTATGGGGCTACGAAACGCTGTACTGGGTGGGTGAAACGCAGGGAAGAGGGAGGAGGGAGAGGAGGAGGAGGGGGAGGGAGGAGGAGAGGAGAGGAGAGGAGAGGAACGCGGGGCACCGTCTCTTCAAAACGAGGACCCAACACCACAGGATGGTTGGGAAAAACATAACGCACAACTTTTGGGGCTCCGCGTGGTTTGCTTGGATCTGCGCTGGGCCCCCCCTGGCGCGCTCCGCGCGCCTGGATGGGGAGGTGATCGCCGATTGATCTAAAACATTCGCGCGGAACTCCAAACGTCTACGTTCTTGCAGTATATTTCATTAGCTAGCGGAGAGAGAGAGAGAGAGAGAGAGAGAAACAATTATCCTGGCGAAGGACCTAACCATATGCAATTGTGAATACTGCAATTGTGAATATCTTCTCGGTGGAGCCCCCTACGGGGCCACGAAACGTACGAAGGGTGTGCCGAAATGTGTGTGCGGGACGCATGCGGGCACACCCACTGGGGCCTTCGGTGGAGCTCCCTATGGGGCCACGAAGCGTGTGAGAGGTGTGCCGAAATGGGTGTGCGGGACGCATGCGGGCACGCCCACTGGGACCTTCGGCGGAGCTCCCTATGGGGCCACGGAACGCGTGAGAGGCGTGTCGAAATGGGTGTGGCTGACGCATGCGGGCGCGGGGCACTGGGGCCTTCGGCGGAGCTCCCTATGGAGCCACGCAACGTGTGAGGGGTGTGCCGAAATGGGTGTGGGTGACGCATGCGGGCGCGGGCACTAGGGCCTTCGGCGGAGCTCCCTATGGAGCCACGAAGCGTGTGAGGGGTGTGCCGAAATGGGTGTGGCTGACGCATGCGGGCGCGGGCACTGGGGCCTTCGGTGGAGCTCCCTATGGAGCCACGAAACGTGTGAGGGGTGTGCCGAAATGTGTGTGGGTGGCGCATGCGGGCGCGGGCACTGGGGCCTTCGGTGGAGCTCCCTATGGAGCCACGAGCCGTGTGAGGGGTGTGCCGAAATGGGTGTGGCTGACGCATGTGGGCGCGGTCACTGGGGTCTTCGGTGGAACTCCCTATGGGTGCCACGAACGTGTGAGGGGTGTGCCGAAATGGGTGTGGGTGACGCAATGCGGGCGCGGGCGACTGGGGCCTTCGGTGGAGCTCCCTATGGGGCCACGAAACGTGTGAGGGGTGTGCCGCAATGGGTGTGCTGACGCATGCGGGCGCGGGCACTGGGGCCTTCGGTGGAGCTCCCTATGGGGCCACGAAACGTGTGAGGGGTGTGCCGAAATGGGTGTGGGGACGCATGCGGCGCGGGCACTGGGGCCTTCGGTGGAGCTCCCTATGGAGCCACGAAACGTGTGAGGGGTGTGCCGAAATGGGTGTGGGGACGCATGCGGCCGCGGGCACTGGGGCCTTCGGTGGAGCTCCCTGACGCATGGCACCACTTCGTGTGAGGGGTGTGCCGAAATGGCTCCCTATGGAGCCTTCACGAAGCGTGTGAGGGGTGTGCCGAAATGGGTGTGGGTGACGCATGCGGGCGCGGGCACTGGGGCCTTCGGTGGAGCTCCCTATGGAGCCACGAAGCGTGTGAGGGGTGTGCCGAAATGGGTGTGGGTGACGCATGCGGGCGCGGGCACTGGGGCCTTCGGTGGAGCTCCCTATGGAGCCACGAAACGTGTGAGGGGTGTGCCGAAATGGGTGTGGGTGACGCATGCGGCGCGGGCACTGGGGCCTTCGGTGGAGCTCCCTATGGAGCCACGGAACGTGTGAGGGGTGTGCCGAAATGGGTGTGGGTGACGCATGCGGGCGCGGGCACTGGGGCCTTCGGTGGAGCTCCCTATGGAGCCACGAAGCGTGTGAGGGGTGTGCCGAAATGGGTGTGGGTGACGCATGCGGGCGCGGGCACTGGGGCCTTCGGTGGAGCTCCATATGGAGCCACGAAACGTGTGAGGGGTGTGCCGAAATGGGTGTGGGTGACGCATGCGGGCGCGGGCACTGGGGCCTTCGGTGGAGCTCCCTATGGAGCCACGAAACGTGTGAGGGGTGTGCCGAAATGGGTGTGGGTGATGCATGCGGGCGCGGGCACTGGGGCCTTCGGTGGAGCTCCCTATGGAGCCACGAAACGTGTGAGGGGTGTGCCGAATTGGGTGTGGGTGACGCATGCGGGCGCGGGCACTGGGGCCTTCGGTGGAGCTCCCTATGGGGCCACGAAACGGTGTACTGGGTGGGTCAAGAGGAGAGGAGGAGAGGAGTGGAGGAGAGGAGAGGAGAGGAGAGGAGAGGAGAGGAGAGGAGAGGAATGATGATGATAATGATGATGATAATGATGATGATGACGATGACGATGACGATGATGACGATGAGGATGATAGGAGGGGAGAGGAGGCGGAGGAGTAGAGGAGGAGAGGAGACGCGGGCCACCGTCTCTTCAAAACGAGGACCCAACACCACAGGATGGTTGGGAAAAAAAGAAAGAGAGAGAGAGAGAGAGAGACAGAGAGAGAGAGAGAGAGAGAAAAGAGAGAGAGAGAGAGAGAAAAAGAGAGAGAGAGAAGGAGAAAACAACGGAGCACAAAACACGTGAGCACAAATGCCGGGAGTCGCAACACTGCTTCACGGCTGCGCGCCAGGCTGCTGCAGAAATTACGCTATCATGCCAGAGCTGCGGCAGGGCCTCATCACCCCACGCGGCCTGGACAGCGTGGGCAAAAACTGATTCGGTCCAAGCTCTCCGGGGACGCCCCCGCTTTTGCTTGAAGTTCTGTGGTGCTTGAAGTTATGTGGTGTTGGTTTCCATGTAAAAGGGCCTAGGACAGTGCATTTGAAAGGGTCATCATCTGGCATTCGGGCAATATGCCCAGGAGCAGCAGCTGGCGATTCAGTAGAGTATCGTTCAGCGGGGAAACGCCTGCTAGCTGCAAAACACTGCAACTCTTTACGTGGCTAATGTATGAAAGAACGCTTTATACCGCACCTTGGCTGGCAGAACTTGCCAAGTTCTTCCCTCAACGAACTGGCCCCCCCCCCCGTAAGATCCGCCGCTCGTGCGATTACAACCAAATGTCCCTGTCGGTTTTTACCCAAAATGTATCGTTTGATGCACATGTCACATCTTGCAAGTGTAAATTTGCCGATTTGCCACAGCGCTGTCACTGGATCTCCATGATTAAAATCAATGGGGAACCCCCCACACTCAAATTCAATGTGTAAATCCCCACAAGAGAAATCAATGTGTACCCATGTACACATTCGTGATGATTGTAATTCAATGTCCAATGATGGCGCTGTGAAGGCGCGGAAGCTTACT